CAGCAAAGGTAGGAGATTGGCTGAAAAGATCTTTGTCGGGATCAACTTCTATGGCAATGATTTTGTCCTGTCAAAAGGTATGTATATATCTATCTTTCTGTGCTATATGTAGCAACAATCTCTTCCCCCCCCAAGGAAAAAGAAGTATAAGAACCTCTAATGATATCTAGGATTGCTTCATAGAAAATGCTAAAAACAAGGTTTACTGAAACATACCAACAAATAGCTAAAGGGAATTCTAACTTTCCCTAATCTGTAAAGTTTTGACGAAGAACATTGGAACTTTCTGAAATTATAGATGTAGAGACCAAGTTAATATTCATGTCATGTAAAGGACTGCTAAATTTTATTTTAAATGATTCCAGTTGATCACTCATCTCCGTTGAGATCTTGGGATATATAGTTTGCTGGATGGAAATGCAACTAAAATATTCAGTTGGCTATGGGTGAATGCAAGGATGTAGTTTCAATTTACCTTGGCCTATGAGAGTAACATCAGCAGAATATTTAAGGATAAATTTTAATGATTCAAGTGCAATGAAACTGCGAGAATGCACGGGAGACAATATTATTGATTAATATTGACAATGATACAATGAGCCATATATATATATATATATCAAACTAACACTCTCCCTTAAGCTGGTGCATATAAATCATATGTACCGAGCTTTTTACATATATAACTAATACGAGAACTAGTGAGGGACTTGGTGAAAATATCAGCAAGCTGATCATTCAACTTCACAAATTTTGTAGCAATATCCTCCGAGAGTATCTTTTCTCTAACAAAATGACAATTAATCTCGATGTGTTTATTTCTCTCATGAAACACGGATTTGACGCAATATGAAGAGCAGCTTGATTATCACACACAAGTCCCATCTGACTAATCTCACCAAATTTCAACTCCTTGAGCAACTGTTTGATCCAAATTAGCTCACATGTCGCCGTAGCCATTGCTCGATATTCTGCTTCTGCACTAGACCGAGCAACCACATTCTGTTTCTTGCTCTTCCAAGACACCAAATTTCCTCCTACTAAGACATAATATCCAGACGTAGAACGTCTATCAGAAGGTGATCCTGCCCAATCAGCATCCGAGTATCCAACGATCTGCTCATGGCCTCGATCCTCAAACAATAAGCCTTTGCCTGGAGCTGATTTTATATACCGAAGAATGCAGACAACTGCATCCCTTTTGCGTTCTCGAGTAACCCAGAAATATGCACTTAAGAGCACGAAGAGCTAACTTTTCTTTTCCTGGAGTAAGGTCATGAACAAAGCACGTACTCCCAAAGACACGGGGTGGAAGAGAGAACAAAGGTAAGTGGGGAAACAATACAGAGAATGGAACTTGATTTTGGATAGCTGAAGATGGCATACGATTAATAAGATAACAAGATGTAAGAACTGCATCCCCCAAAAACGCAGCGGAACATGGGATTGTATGAGTAGGGTACAACCAGTTTCAATAAGATGTTTATTCTTTCTTTCAGCTACCACATTTTGTTGGGATGTGTATGGACAAGATGTTTGATGAATAATCCCATGAGAGTTCATAAACTGCTGAAATAGGGAAGACAAATACTTTAGGGCATTATCACTACGAAATGTGCGGATAGAAACCCCAAATTGATTTTGAATTTCAGCGTGGAAGGTCTGGAAAATAGAAAACAACTCAGATCGATTTTTCATCAAAAATATCCAAGTGCACCTGGAATAATCATCAATGAAACTGGCAAAGTAGTGGAATCCCAAAGTAGAACTGACCCGACTAGGACCTCAAACATCTGAATGGACTAAAGTACAAAGTGACTTTGCTCGATTATCAAGACGCCGAGGGAAATGGGAGCCGGTATGCTTACCGAGCTGACATGACTCACACTCTAGAGTGGACAATTGAGATAAGCCAGGTACCATTTTCTGAAGTTTTGACAAACTGAGATGTCCTAACCGTTTATGTAATAAATCTGGAGAATCAGTAACGGGACCAATTATTAGAGGAAGACAAGATGCGAGTCCATGTGATTTTGCAAGGATAAGGTAATAAAGTCCATCTGATTCACGTCCGGTACCAATGATCCGCCCTGTACTGCGTTCTTGTATAACAACAAGGTCATCAAGAAATAAAACAACATATTTAAGTGATTTGGCTAAGCGACCAACGACTATGAGATTAAAAGGACTACCAGGAACATAAAGAACTGAGTCTAGAGGTAAGGAATGAAGTGGACTTGCTTGACCTATTGCAGTTGCCATGACTTGAGACCCATTGGCCATTGTGACTGATGGAAAAGATTGAGAATATAAAATACTAGTGAAAAGAGATTTGCTACCAGAAATATGATCAGATGCACCTGAATCAATGACCCAAGACTCAGAAGGTGAAGATTGGGAGACACAAGTCATGCTACTATTTGTTGGAACAATAGAGGTTAATTTTGAAGATGTCTGTTTATGTGCTTTGTACTGAAGGAACTCAATTAAATCCGGTAAGGAAACCATCTGGATTGGATTCAATGCATTGGATCCAACGGATTGTGTGTCTAAGGCTTCTAATAAGGATGACATTATAATGTTCACGCCGGAAAAAAACAGAAAATTTTCTGAAAATCACTGTTTCGCCGGAAATCAATGTTCACACCGGAAAAATATAAGTTGTCGGAATCAGGTTTAAATTGGATGGGTAGGCTCGGAATTGCAAGACGATTACACTATTCAAAAGAACTTTTTCAAATTCAGCCGGAACACTGTTCATGTGTCGGCGTGTGGGACAGACGCGCCGGCGACGGCAGAACTCCAGCAGGCGCGTGGGTGAGTGTTTTCAGGTGGTTTTTTTCTGGGGTTTGGTCGTCTATCTCTTGGGAACCTTTTGGTGGTGTTGGATTTCGCACAACACTGATAATTAGTGACTTTGAAGCAAATAGTCACTTAGGCCACTGGAAAATCTCACGGTGACTGAGTTTTTCTTCCCGGATGTCGTTGGATGACGCACAACGATCTATCCTCACCAAAGCTCTGATACCATGTGAGAATGCACGGGAGAAAATATTATTGATTAATATTGACAATGATACAANTTTAACTATCAAACTAACAGAAACAACCTTTCGATTCAAGTATTAGTGATTAAACGTCTCTAATATTTGAATTTTCAAAGATAATTTAACCAGAGGATTGGATGATTATTTCATCCTATATGGGTTTCCATGAAGTGGCACTAATAATAATCCTTAAAGAGCATAATGATTGTTTAGTTGTTTGTATCTGTTCACCATTTGCGAAGGATCATTACCTGCACAGGTTTAGGTGGGGGGCCTATCATATCACACGAATATCTCTCTTTGTTGGAGGAACACAAGCCTTTAATTCAGTGGGAGGAGGACAGTGCTGAGCATTTCTTCTTGTATTCTGACAATCAGCAAGTCCAGCATGCTGTATTCTACCCGTCGCTCATGTCACTTGCAGTGCGGCTTGAGGAAGCTCTTTCATGGGGGGCAGGCATTTCAATTTGGGAAATTGGTCAAGGTCTGGAATACTTTTTTGATATTTTGTAGTATTTTAATCTTCACTTGGCATTGTTGCCTAGTCTTACATTTCCATTTGTTTAATTGAATAGTAGAAAGAGACTTTGTTGGTACATCTGTTGCGGATTAGTTTCTGAATCTACATTAGTAACATCAATAACAGCTCTATGTTTCCAGTTTCATTTCACTTGTACTTTTCTTCTATAAGATCGGTCTTCCTTTTTTTTTTTGGAAGTGTGAGGATCTTAAAATTGTTCTCTTTTGTCAATAGCAAGGGGTGATCGATTATTTCTTTCTTTGGTGAAATCCCGGGTGTTGTCTAATTTTGTAAACGTGCACTGTTGTGCGTGGCTCTTTTCACTACTGAAATTGCATGAGTTTTACTCTGGGAATTTGCGGATATTACCTGGTCAGTCACATTGACCCCACTTGTGGGACTACACTGGATATGTTGTTGTTGTACCTGGTCAGTCACATGACTAGAAATTCTTTTTGGTTTTCCATTGGGGGTGAGGATACATTTGCACTCAAGTGTGCAAAACTGTTGAAGAAGAAAGAAGCTCCAGCAGGAAGCAGTTGCCAGTGCCATTTGCTGTGGAACTACACTTTGCATTGGAAATTCTTGGAAATTTGGGTAGTCTTCTGCATCAATAATTTCATTTTTTTATAGGGAAAATATTTTTATGGTGATCATTCTTGTAATGAAAAACCTGATGCTTGAATCGTATAAATCAGTCAAGTTAACTTTGGTCAGATTTGATGTCTCGACAAGGGTTCATTTCCAATTTCGAGTTGGCAGTTATGGAGTTTCCATTCAGTGGAAAAAAAAAAATAGAAATAAAATATTTCTCCTATTTCATTTTACATCATTAGTTTGATTTGTACAAGTATGGATGAATGTTGAAGTAATAGTAGTTTAAAAATTTTAATTTGAAAGGAAATTAGTTTGATATATATTATCCAAAGGCCAAAGGCAAATTTATTCGAAATCTTAAATGGAGGATAAATATAATACAACTACAACAAATCCAGTGAAATTTCACAAGTGGGATCTGGGAGAGTACCCCTACCAAATTGTTTTCTGCGCAAGAAAATTTGACTATTTTCCCTTTGGAAAAAAAAAAAGAACGAAGGAAGTAGCAGGTACTATGAGGGCCCCCAGGGCCTAGCTCAAGTGGCAAAGGGTGGTGGGTTTGTGTCTTAGGTCACAGGTTCAAGCCCCCATACCATGCAAAGCAAATCCTGGTATTTAAGTCGAGAAGGGTAGAGGGGCGGGCCCATTATCAACCGAGTTTCGAAGACTGCGGTTGGTCCAAACGATCGGCCTAGATGGATTTCTCGGTCATCAAAAAAAGTAGTAGGTACTATGAGTTCCTATCTTGAATGTAAAAGAATGTGTTGATAGTCAACTAATGCAATGTGCGTTGACTCTGTCAATTACCTTTGTTAAGGGCATGAAGACTAATAAGCAAGTCTTCACACTTCATTTCCTCTAATTTGTATACCTTCCAATTCATTTCTTTGAATTTTCCCTTTTCATTCATTTTTTATTCTCTCTCACTAGCAAAAAGCAAAATTACCTTTCCTCATCAAGCTCAAATTCATATTCAGATCTGCAATTTTTCTGTTGACTATGTTTTTAGCCTTGTTTAAGTTCAACCATCATCTCTGGTTTTGCGCTCTACTGGAGCGTAGTCAGCTAGCTTCGTGACTTTGCTTAGCGTTCAGATTTTGCGGAAAATGGGAGAGGAGAATTGTTGGGAGAGAGAAGTTGTAATAACTGAGCTAACCAAGGGGAGGGAATTGATGTGTCAGCTGCAAAAGCACTTTGATCCCATGAAACAGGATGTATGCCAGTATTTATCTGTGGAAATACTTTCTTCTTATGATAAAGCACTGTCCCTCTTAAATGGCACAGCTTTATCAGTAATGAGCAAAGGCAAACAGATTATCAATTCAGCACCATCTTCATCAACTGCTAAGCTGGAATCTCCTCATCTTCCGGTTGATAGTAGCACAAAGAGTTCTGACCGTCCTTCTAACTCCAGGAAGAGGTATTTTCATCCCTCTCTTTTTTCCCGCTCTTCTTAGTTTAATCATGAAGGGGAGCCTTGGAGTACCGACAAAAGTTGTCTCCGTGTGATCTATAGGTCACGGGTTCGAGCCATGGAAGCCGTCACTAATGCTTGCATTAGGTTAGGCTGTCTACATCACACCCTTTTGGGTGTGGCCCTTTCCCCACCGGGCTTCCCTTTTTCCCCTTAGTTTAATCATCTGATATCCCAACCGACTTCCCGACTAATCCTGATTTGTGCCGTAGAAAGCCCACTATGGAGAGCTCAAAGAGAACTCCATTTCCAGGGATCTAAATTAAGACCTCTCTTTTAAGGGTGAAGTAACCTTTACTATCCACAACCGCACCCTCTCACTTGTAACTGGTTGGAGTACAAAATTTAGCATAAGTGGAAGTTATATGTGCTACATTTAAGCTTATAGATCTTTAGAACATTCAAAGAGTAGCGAATTGCTTTAGATCTTAGTGGTAAATTGAATGCTTTGCACAATCTGGCTCTCTTGGTACCTAGCTTAGCAAGGGAAGCGTGGTGCACAAGGTATCCCGTGTTCTCGCAGGGTCCGGGGAAGGGTCTCGCCCCAAAGGTGTGATGTAGACAGCCTATCCTAATGCAAACATTAGTGGCTGCTAACACGGCTCGAACCCCTGACCTGTAGGCTCTTAGTACCTAGCTAATCTTGATATAATATGGTTAAGTGATGATTTAAAGAAAGATTTTATATGAATGAAATTGGAGTATTCTTTCATTTGATGGAGGTTCTTGTTAGGAACTTTTATTTTTGTGAGACAATTAATCATTGTAGGAAGATGATCTCGCGAAGGACAGAGTACGTACATGCTCGATCCAGAGAAGAGGTTCCACCTGAGGATGGATACAGTTGGAGAAAATATGGACAGAAACATATTTTAGGAGCAAAATATCCCAGGTGAGAATTTGTTTCTCTATGTTCCTTGCTCAGCAGCAACCAGAATCTGGACATCTCTGTCTTCATGTATATACCAAGTTCCCCTTCATTTTTTGACATGAATTGGCTTAAGGGTTGGATGGTACTACACTAAGTTGCTCGGACACGGGTGTGGGTGTCCGACACGAGTGCGGATCTAGAGATCGGATCCTTCAAAATGTAAATTCTAATTTTCTGGGATACGGATCCTAGTACGGATATAGGTACCGGGATCCAGCTAAAATAATTCAAAAAATACAAATATCAAAATATCTCTAAATTATGAGAGATTTTGTGGAATACTTATGTATAACTTGTAAAGTGTAAATTTCTTTTTTATTCTCAAGCTCTAGATACGTTAAAGATTGATTTCCTCGATAAAGTATGTTTATTTTCTCAAATTTACCCTGGTTTTGGTTTTGATTTTGAGAATCAAATAGTATATCGTCTCGAATTTTTTCGTCCGTCATGGTCAAAGTACCCAAAATTATTTGACCAAATCCGGTATGGATCCCATACCCACACAATACTCAGTGTCGTGTCGATAGGTGTGCGGCACCTAAACCGCCGTGTCAAAGCAACTTAGGTAATACACTATCCATGTTAATTTCACATATTGATCATTGAATTCCAGGTTAACTTCTAACAATTATTTTTCTATGGCACTGCAGAGAATATTATCGATGTGCTCGTCGTCATTTGTCTAAATGTATTGCTACTAAGATGGTCAAGCGAAGTGACACAGAGCCGCCAATTTTTGAAGTTATTTATGGAGAAAGTCACAGTTGTGGTCAAGAAAGCAAAAACCAAAATGAAGACTTACCTGCACCTGTGCTAACAGTGCTAACAAAAGAAAAACAATCTGAAGAAGTTGGAAGAAGAGGGGAAATATCTGAATCTGATATTGCTGAGATGGTTTCAACACCAAATAATTCATTCAACAATTCCTCAACAGGTGTTGTATTCTCATCAAACTCCAATTCCAATTCACTATTCAACATCGCCAATTCCGACTTCATTTCCACACCAACTTCTTCACCCCATCCTGACTGGAATTTTTTGTCATTTGATGATGATGCTAGACTCACCGCTTTACTTAATGATGGACCTGAAAATGTTAGCTGCACTTATAAAGGTGTCGATTTCATCTCCACACCAACTTCAGTCCGCAATTTGTTACTTGATGATAGTCTCACTACCTTATCTAATAGTGCACCTCAAAATGCGAGGCGCATCTATAGAGGTGTCCGCCAGCGTTCTTGGGGGAAATGGGCAGCTGACATCCGCGATCCCAAGCGTGGTGCTCGCGTCTGGCTTGGCACTTTTGACAATTCTCATGATGCTGCTGTGGCTTACGATGATGCCGCCTATAGATTGTACGGGAAAAATGCCAGAGTCAACTTCCCTGAGCGTTACATGAAACATGCATAGAATTTCAGGCCCATGAAGAATGCGCCAGGGAAATCTACAGTCAAACTTACGAGTTCAGTAGTACGAACAACTTTGGTTCAAGCCCTATATTTGTGTTGAGAAATGTAGTTCGGTTGATGAGTAGACAATGCAACATTTGGATTGTCCAAGTAGACACCCCTCTTACAATTAGTCTCTATATATTTATGTTAGATCATCTTCTCCCATATCTTGAAAAGGGATGATGCTTATTTTGGAACCCTGTTTACACTGAAATAATGGAAACAGACGACTGAAATCAGAGGCGGATCCAGAATTTAATTTTAATGGGTTCAATTTTAACTTTCCTATTCCTAGTCCCTTATTTCTATACAGTGTGTCAGTATTAGCAGTAAGATTGGCACTATTCTTGTAGTTTCGTATCCCTGGATCTCTATCATTACTCGTTGTATTATTTGCTTTTATTGTTTGTTTACCTCGTGGTTGCTATTGTTTCTGTATCATTCCATTTTCTTTTTCTTTTTTAACGTTCTTGAGCCGAGGCTCTTTCGGAAATAGCCTCTCTATCTTCATAGGTAGGGGTAAGGTCTCCGTACATACTACCCTCCCTAGACCCCACTTGTGGGGATTTCACTGGGTTGTTGTTGGGTTCAATTTTAAGATTTTTAGCATTGCACTAATTGTACTGTTAAAATTATGTATTCAAATCTAATATTTATTAAAATTTTAGTAGATTTTTATATATAAATTCATACATCTGAAATGTTACATTCGCCCTCGACTGAAATCTAGCTGAAAGAGTTTTGACCGTCCTTCTAACTCCAGGAAGAGGTATTCTCATCCCTCTCTTTGTCCCCCTCTTCTTAGTTTAATCATCTGGTTCTGAACCAACTTCCCGACTAATCTAGATTTGTGCCGTAGAAAGCCCACTATAGAGAGTTCCAAAGAGAATTCCATTTCCGGTGCTCTAAACTAAGACCTCTTGTTAAAGGTGAAGTAACCTTTACTATCCACAACTGCACCCTCTCAATTGTAACTGGTTAGAGTACAAAATTTAGCACAAGTGGAAGTTAGAAGTTTAAGAAATTATGAAGTACATAAGAGGAGGATGATGCGTATTAAGTAATGTTTTGGCGGATAAAGTCATGGCTATGATTACCTCGATAAACGGCAAAAGCTATGCTAAATCATGGGTTGACGTGTGTTCGGAACATTAAATGCGGAGAGACGTGCGTCTAATCATCCGACAGAGGATTGCAGAGGGGGTTATAGTAATTCCCACAAAAAAGAACTATTTCTACCAACTTTCCGGTAACACAAGATTATGTCACCGAAAAGCAGGGGTCCTATCTGTATAGGGAAAAAATACGACATGATACGTGGCCGCTTAAAGGAAGGACACGTGGAACCTAAGATGGGGATGACCACCGAACATAGCTATTCCGCTTGTCACCGGAAGGAATAACGATCATAAAAGGAGTATTAAATGTTTTACGCTCGGTAACATTTAATACAGAATATTTTGCAACATTAAAGATGATGGTCCGTTACAAGGAATTTGGCATTTATGTCTACCGTTACATCTTCATCAATGACCCTCATAATTGATATTAAAGAAGGACATGATTCTAGGACCTCCTTCCCTAGACATAGCTATAAATATGGAGTTGATTTATCATTGTAAAGGACATGAATTTTCTGCCTAACTTACGCTACATTCAATGCAGATTTTTAATACAATTTTGCTTTCTCGCTTTTTGATCTCATAATTATGTGCCTGGAAACCCTGTTCCCAGACTCATCAGCTCTGCCATTTCATCTACATTTTAAGGCTAAGTAAAAATTTTCATCAGTTACTTTGTTATTTTTTGGATCAAATTACTTCACTTGTCTAGACTTCACGAACAAATTTAACTGTACCGTTTTACGGGTAAAAAATAAGTCATGCTAATATAAGTACACCAAAGAAGTACTATTAATTATATGACTAAGCACTAAAGAAAAAGATAAATTAAGTTATGCATTTTTATTATAAACTAATACAAAACTAAAAGCATATATCCAACACTATTGTCATTTCTAGTATTGAATTGAATTTATTTTGTTAGCATTATTATTGATTTAAACTATATTTGAGTTACTACATTTATGAGCTATAAAATTTATTGGACCATTCAAAAATGTCCTTTCATGAGCTATAAAACTCATTGTCCTTTTTCCTTTTGCGTTTTTAAAATACCAGTTCATTAATACTTATTCATTTTTGGAAGACAAAATAATTTACTTCACTTAGATTTAGAATCTCGAAATCCAAAAAGATATTAATTCATGGATCTTTCTTTTATGGAGTAGCTTTTATCCAAGAAATATACTCATAACATAAATCAACATGAATTTGCCTCCACCAAACTGCAAACATATGAAACACGACAATTAAATTAGAATGATAAATAAAAAATTCAGTATAATTTCACAAGTGAAATTTAGGGAGAAGCGGTTTTACCCTTAGGCTCTACCTTATACAGATAGAGAGTTGCTATTTTCCGATAGACTCTAGGCTAAAACACGACAACTAAATTGAGACGGATAAAGTGACAGCCACAATTTTTTTGAGAGCAAAAAACAAAGCATAAACAAAAAATTAAAAATAATAGTAGGTGATATTATTGGCGAAAAAAAAACTTTTATTGGCAGTTGAATAAAGTAAAAGCATTTTCAGAAATCTGCAAACAGTGATTCAACTCCTTGTAGATGACGCCGTTTCCAAAGTCAGTCAACCCACAAAAAGCGCCAAGAAACAATTGGACATTCAATATATCACCAAAAACCCCACATAAATAATATTAATAAAAGCAAAATAATAATATAGCACCACAATACGGTAATTAACAAAAATAAAAGAGCGATAATCACACTGAGATTTTTACGTGAAATTTTTTTTGAATAAGGGAAAAATCACGGCCCTTGAGAATAGCTACAACACTCAAAAGAAATAACTCTCTTTTGATGTTTTTACCCACTATAATATCGTTCACTCTCTATTTTTCTCACGAACTATTTTCTTATATTTTTTTGTGAGGTCTAATTCTTTAATCCTTGTTGGCGCGGGCGGAGATATTGGCTCCGGTACCACGTCGTGCACCGCGAACATTTCCCTTGCCGCATGTTGTTCCCCGTATACGGTCTTAACTCCATCCTTTGTTGAGAATTTCATCATTTGGTGGAGAGATCCACGGCCATGCAGTGTATCCACGGCCATCGAAACAACTAGAAATAAGAGTAAAAGTCTTTAATAGGAGAAATGGCGTAGCTCTTCGACCAATCAGAACGAAGTATTGGTTTAAATTTTTTCTTCCTAACGCCCACCAATTTGGCAACTTTAGACTTTTTCGTTATGGAGATGGACCACACAATTTTCAGCACGGTTTTTACTACTATATACAGCCAACGTTTCTTTCTCTTTCATAAACCAACCAAAATTCTTACGAAATAATCGAAGATCAAGAGAGGAGAAAACGACAATCATGTGTTACGAGGTTAAGTGTTCGACTTGTGGAAAGACCAGTTGGGGTGGTTGTGGAAGACATGTTCCTTCTGTTTACAACCGAATCCCAGAAGGACAACACTGCCAGTGCAAGGATTGGACCACCGGTGACGGCGAGGGTTCTGTCGCCGCCGCCGCCGTCGCCGCCGGGGATTCTCCTACTGGTTACTGTACTATCGTCTAGAGAAATTGGGAGTTTAAGTCTATCTTTTTTCTTGTACTCTAATTAATAAGGTTAGCTCAAGTTATGTCTGTTGGGGAGCTAGTATATCAATGTAATAAATGTCTATGGTTATGGATGGTTTTTCTCTTTAATTTTCTATTTTGGGATTTATGAAATAGCAGTATCTTTCACGGCAGACCTATATATATATATTTCCATGATTAAAAGGTAAAATACATAAGTTACCCCTGAACTTTGGACCAAATCCCTGTTACACACTTTCTGACCATGAAAATCATCTTACACACTCAACCTTTCCAGAGTGTGTCTAATACACACCTCTTTGCCTACGTGGCTAGCGCGTGTTTTACAAACAAAATGAGGCATCTGAATATTAAAAAATTATATGTCTGATATTTTATTTAAACAGTTCAGATTTAGTGAAATTTATCCAACGATTACAATAACATTTCTTTCTTTCTTTCCTTTTTTTAGTTTCTCTTTTTTATTTTTCTAAACTAATCCACCACCTGCCCGTCGAGAGCCCATCCAGACCTCTCCATCGTCCACCATTGATGCTCCACAACTTCTCCACCATCCTAAAATCAATCAACACTCACCTGTCGAAAAATCACTATACCTTCACCATTGAAGCAACTTTTTCTCTTCTCTTCCTTTTTCCCCTTACACCTGTTGGGGGCAACCATGAAGGAACCCACTTACCATTATATACCATTGGAGAGGGTTGTAGGTTTGCTTAAGAAGAACCAATATTCTAGTACAACTAATTATTTTTGGCATTTGGATCAAATCTTAATAAGTTCTTTGCAAAAGATTCCAATATTTGGTACTCGAATTTTGTATCTCGAAAATATTTAGAAATTAGAAGCTAGGAGCATTTGATTGGGCCTTCTAGTTTTTGTTAAATTAGATGGCAGAGGTCTGGTTGTTGTCGCCGGCGAAGAGAAAGAGATGCAAGGGGGAAGATGGTAAAGGGTATAATTGTAATTTTACATATTTTAATTTTTAAAAGAATAATAACACGTGTCACAATCTTATTAGTGCGTGACTTTACACATATTTTGAAAAATTGGTCAAGAAAAAAAAAGTGTGTATTAGACATACTCAAGAAAGGTTGAGTGTGTAAGATGATTTTCGTGGTCAGAAAGTGTGTAACAGGGATTTGGTCCATAGTTTAGGGGGTAACTTATGTATTTTGCCATGATTAAAATAGTAGAAAGAGATTATACTTCTACATTTGTCATAGATTAGTTTTTGAATCTAGAATAGTAACATCAGTGTGAAAAGCTAGAGTTTCTAAAATCTAATTTCCAATTGTTCAAACGGTTTGTCATTTGAATATTCCTACACAAAGTTATGGTCATAGCTACTTAACCACTCTTATTTTATTTTACAAGTTCATGTATATTTTGCTCTGTCCGAGTTTTTTAACACTAACCATCAGCAAATGCAGTTCAAACATGAGGTTAACAAAATCTCAAGCCCTATAAATATAAATTGATGTATTTGATATCAAAAACTTGCATTACATTATTGGCATGTATGTTACTGTACTGCTATGGGATAATTAATCCCCGGATTAGTTATATCATGATTTTATCTCAACCAAATATGAGATAAACTCATCTCAAATTTAATCCCGGTATTAATTATCCCCTATCCCTCATACCAAACGAGCCATTATTGACGTAGTAAATGTTGGAAATAATTGGATAATTACGGAGAATAAAAGGTTTAGCTTGAGGCGTGTCAAAGACACTGTCCTTAAGGATATTTCGCCCACATCGAGATGAATAATGGGTTTAGCTCCCGGAGGTAAATCAACTAAAATCCAAGTTTTATTTTGTAAAATTGAATCTAATTCTACATCAATAACTTCTTTCCAAAATGAGGCATCATACGAAGATATAACTTCAGAATATGTTAAAGGATCATTATCCACAAGATAAGTATAAAAATCATTATCAAAAGATTTTTCTTTCCTTAATCTTTTGCTTCTTCTTAAATCCTCACTTCCAAAATCATTTTTAATAATTGAAACATGTGAAATATTATCACTTGGAATAATAGGAGCATTAGAAATTTTCTCAAATTTTAAAGGAAAAATATTTTCAAAAAATTCAGCATTTTTTGTTTCAACAATAGTATTGTTTTCAAGTACATCACCTTTAACTACTAAAAATCTGTATGTTGTACTGTTTTCAACATACCAAATAAACATACAATCAGATGTTTTAAATCCTATTTTTCTTTTCTTAGGATCAGGCAACATAACTTTAGCAANTTAACTTTTTTCACACTACTCCATGAACACAAACAAATAGCTTTATATATAGTCCAAGAAAATGGACATCTGAAAATGAAAAACCTGTAAAATCCATTAAGGATTTAATGTCAAGAATTCACTGCCAAAACAAATCATTAAGTATGCAATACCAAGAATGCCAAAACGGATCATTAAGAATTCAATACCAAGAATGCCAAAAGGCCAAAACGTAAAAACATTGAAAGCCATCCATTGCCAAACCGTTAAAATCAAATTGTTAATTGAAAATATTCCATGAGTTACAATTCTATCAAGATCACTTAATATTATATTAAAATAATGAACCTAGACATAATTGTAAATATTCTTTTTGAGATATTAAAATATTTTTGTCTCAACAATCCCCCACATAGCTCAAAAAGAATATTATAATAAAATAAGATAAAACTATATTTGCTGGGTTTCACAAATGAGCATAACGTGTCGCATCTGGTGTCTCTTGGACTATGAACCATACCTAGATAAAATAAGATTAAACTCACAGAATAATTGGTGAAGTTCAAAACTTCTATGAACCAAGAATTCTTTTGTAAGTTTAGTGTCTTATCTATCACATTATACCCACACACACTTTGTTCTTTGTCGCGGTTTTGCGCTAATAGGCCATGCGCGCGCCTAGTTTTCATGAGTGCTCTAGAAATTTTTGCTATAAATTTCATAGGAGCGGCCCCACACCACACTCATATAGGTCCATCCATCAAGTGTATTCTGCAGCACAATACACCACCTATAAAAGGCTATGGATTATTAGATTAAGAGTTCAATAACTCAGCCTCTCATTCCTTGCAGTCTTGCACTATATACACACACATCATAGGAAGGGATATAATTAATAGTGCACATTTGATCAACTAATGACTTGTTATTACTCATATGAACCTACTTCATGGAATCTCCAATCACATAGGTTGAGTTACCATCATAGTTGATATCACTCAAATTGGCAAAAGTCTCATTCCCCTCGATGTTTCAGATATTAATTTTCTTCCCAAAGATTTAGTTAGAGGATCGGCCAAATTCACTTTTGACTTCACATAATCAATGGAAATAATTCCATCTCTCAGCAGCTGCTTTATCATATTATGTCTCAATCGGATATGTCTACTCTTCCCATTAAAGGATTTATTTTTGGCAATGGCTATTGCAACTTGGCAATCACAATGCATCGACACAGAAGGTGTCGGTTTAATTCCTAATGGAATACTCGCCAAAAGGTTCTTTAACCACTCGGTCTCATTGCCAGCCAACAACAGAAGGTGTTGTTTGTTTAGCTGATTTTCATGCCACAACACCCCCATCGAGGGTGAACACATAACCACTAGTGAATTTTGTCTCATCTGAATCAGAGATCTAGTTAGCATCACTGTATCCTTCTAATACAATGGGAAATCCACTATATTTAATACCATAGTTCATGGTACCTCTCAAATATTTCATTACTCATGACTTGGGTTTTGAGAATATCTACTCAATCTACACACAATATATGCAATATCAGGTCTAGTAAAATTCATCAAATTCATTAGACTACCAATAACTTGAGCATATTTATTTGGGAAAATGCATAAGTACCCCCTGATCTATACTCGGATTTCCAACCACATATTTTTTCTTTGCGGGAATCCTATTACCCCCCTAAACTTATTTTAAATGAAATTATTTGCACCCTAAAACTAGATAACCAAACTCTTGGCAAGTGGTGAGCTACACGCGCCCCCACATGTATTCTTAGTACTTTTTTTATTCTTTCTTATTTTTCTTATCCTTTTTTCTTATTTCTTATTATTCTCATTTTTTTTGGTTATTTCATTCTCTTTCTTTTTGTTTTGGTCACTGGTGGCATAAATTGGTGGTCGTCGGAATTTCACAAATACCATTTTTTCCGGCGATATATTTTTATCCCGATCTAAGTGTGTTTTATATATATATATATATATATATAATTTTTTCTTGAAAGTGTAATTTACGAGTGGGAGGAAGAGCAAAAGAAATAAAAACGAATATAAGCTCAGAAAACATTTTTCATTTAAAATTTCAATACATTATTTTTTTTCCGGCGTGGGAAGATTTTCCGATGATGAATTTTCCCCCCCAAATCTGAGTGTATTTTGCTTTGCTTATAAATAGATCTTTTTGAAAGTTTAATTTGTGTGTAAAAAGAAAAAATAGAAGAAAAACGGTTAGACAAAGTCGTCGGTGAATGAATATCCGTCGGAATTAGAGAAGAAACGAAAAAAAAGACAAAGAAAAAAAAAAGTAAGAAAAAATGGTAAAAAAGAATAAAAAAATAACCTAAAAATCGTTTTTTCTCTATGCCACGTCAGCGTTAAGGGTGCAAATAATTTCATTTAAAATAAGTTTAGGGGGTAATAGGATTCCCGCAAAGAAAAAGTGTGTAGTTGGGAATCCGGGTATAAGTGAGGGGGGTACTTATGCATTTTTCATATTTATTTTGATCTACAACATCTCCCTTATTCTTTTTTAATTGACTACTAGCATCATAAGGAGTGCTTATAGGTACCACATCAAAATTATCAAATTTTTTAAGAATTCTTTCAACATAATGTTCTTGAGTCAACATCAAACTATTGCCATCTCTTATAATTTTCATGCCTAAAATAACACTAGCTTCTCCCATGTCTTTCATCTCAAAATTAGAAGACAAGAAAAATTTGATTTTATTTACCAAATCAAGGCTAGAACTAAAAGTAAACATGTCATCCCCATAAAGGCAAATAATAACACATGTACCATATAAACATTTTGTATAAACACATTTATCTACTTCAATTGATAAAAAACCATCATTAATCAATACTTGATCAAATATTTCATGCCACTGTTTAGGCGCTTGCTTTAGACCATATAAAGATTTTAATAGTTTACATATTTTATTTTCTTGTCTAGACATTATACAACCCTCAGGTTGCTCCATGTAAATTTCCTCTTCCAAATCACCATTTAAAAATAGCATTTTAACATCCATTTGGTGAATAAAAAGTTTATAAATAGAAGCCAAGGCAAGTAAAACACGAATCGAGGAAATTCTAGTTATAGGAGCATAAGTGTCAAAATAATCAATATTTTGCTTTTGGGTAAAACCTTTTGCAACAAGTCTAGCTTTGTATTTATCAGTGAAACCATCCGGATTGGGTTTCTTCTTAAAAATCCATTTACAACCAATGGGTTTAGCTCCCGGAGGTAAATCAACTAAAATNTATGAGTTACAATTCTATTAAGACCAATTAATATTATATTAAAATAATGAACCTAGACATAATTGTAAATATTCTTTTTGAGGTATTAAAATATTTTTGTCTCAACAGTAAATTCATCAATAATTATCAATATATTGATAGAATAAAGCCTTGCAAGTTCCAACAGAGGAAAAAAATATTAGGTGATCTCTTCTCATCTGTCCAAGTTTTAGCGGATAAAGTTATCCGATACCTATGCTGTTGAGAGGTAGGAGGTACCCTGTGGAATTAGTGGAGGTGCGAGTAAGATGGTTCGGATACGACCGTCATAAAAAAGAACCCGCAAGTCCTCCTAAAAGTAGCTTTTATCTGGACTAGATAGTTACTTGACTATCAATCTCATTTCAAGGTAGAAAAAAATGTAGTCCAAAGATCCTCAGCTGAGGAATTCCCCTCTGCATGTGCTGAAGTTGGTGTTGTCATGATATCAGAATTAGTCATGTTGAGGATTGAATTGGAGTTTACTATCCCTGTTGAGGAATTGTTGAATGAAGTATTTGGGGTTGAAACCATCTCAGTGAAATAGGATTCAGATATTTCCCCTCTTCTTCCAGCTTCATCACATTGTGTTTCTTTTGTTAGTGCAGCAACTAATTCTCCATTTTGCTGCAGTTTGCTTTCTTGACCACAACTGTGACTTCCTCCATAAATAACTTCAAAAACTGTTGCCTCTGTATCACTTCGCTGGACCATCTTAGTAGCCGTACAACTAGATAAACGACGACGAGCACATCGATAGTATTCTCTGCAGTGCCATAAGAAATTGTCGTGGGAACTTGTATTTCTAGGTAAAACATTGAATATAGTGTAGTATATCCACCTTTGAGCAACTTTGTTCTCCGTTAAACTTTGATCTAAGCTTACCCCGTAATTAGGAAAAAAGGTTTCGTTCTTCTCCTTGACCCCTAACGGAGCTCCAAAAAGGGTAAATCTGGACACGTAGAGTCCACCTATTTACCTGGAGCTCTGTTAATGACAAGGACAATACGAGACGATTTTCTAATGCAAAGGGGTATGAATGGACCAAAAGTCTAAGGGAGGACACAATTAGCAATTTCGGATAATATAAGAGCCGAATTTGGGCAGTTTTCCCTTCACAAAGCGAAGGGAACTTCGTACAAACAAGAAATAGAACATCCAGGTTTTGGTTGCTGCTGGACAAGAAACATACAGAACCAGATTCTCACCTGGGATGTTTTGCCCCTAAAATATATTTGTGTCCATATTTCCTCCAAATGTATCCATCCTCAGGTGGAACCTCTTCTCCAGATCGAGCACGTACGTACTCTGTCCTTCGCGACACCATCTTCCTACAATGATTAATTGTGTGGAACAAGTTAAAAAGTTCCTAACAAGGACCTCCACCAAATGTAAGAATGCACCAGTTTCACTTTCTAAAACTGGTCTGTCGTCTCATCTGAGTAAATTACAGTAATAGTCTATGTGAAATTATCAGCGATCATATACATATCGTTTGTTAGTTTTGCCTTTGGGATACAACAACAACGAATCCCCGCACAGTGGGGTTTGGGAAGGATAACGTGTACGCAGACCTTACCTTTACCTTATGAAGCAAGAGAGACTGTTTCTGATAGACCCTCGGTTCAAGAACAAACAGTAATAATCGCAAGGAAATAAGATAACAGAAATAGATACCATAGCCTGTAATAGCAAGGGAACTAGGAATACGAAGCTACAAGAGAAGTGTGAAAACTACCAGCAATAATGCCACATCGTCTAACAACAAGGAACTCGGAATAAGAGAATATAAGACTAGTACTACTACTAGTACGACTAGAAGAGACTCTCGACTACCTGTCAACCCAAAACCCTAATCCCGACCTCCATACCTCCCTATCGAAGGTCATGTCTTTGGAACACATATATGAATATATTAGCTATCGTGTAGCGTTGATATGTTCTTATATACCTAGAAATGTCATGACATGTTTAAGCCCATTATGTAGCATAAATCTTTGTCTCTATCTTGAACTCCGCCCCAGTCAAATACTACCACATAACTGAAACTAGAATACCTCTTCTTACCCGGTCAAATACTGACACATAAATTGAAATGAGAGTACCTCTTCCTGGAGTTGCAGGGACGGTCAGAACTCTTTGTGCTAGCATCAGCCAGAAGATGCAGAGATTCCAGCTTGCCAGTTGATGAAGATGGTGCTGGATTACTAATCTGTTTACCTTTATTCATCCCAGATAAAGCTGTGCCATTTAAGAGGGACAGAGCTTTATCATAGGAAGAAAGTATTTCCACAGATAAATACTGGCATACATCCTGTTTCATTGGATCAAAATGCTTTTGCAGCTGACACATCAATTCCCTCCCCTTAGTTAGCTCAGTTATCACTACCTCTCTCTCCCAACAATTCTCCTCTCCCATTTTTGCAAAACTAGCTAGCAACAACAACTATCCAGTACAGTCTCGCAAGTGGGGAAGTGTAGTGTGTACGCAGACCTTACCGCTAACCCAATGGGACAAAGAGGCTGTTTCTGATAAACCCTCGGCTCAAAGAGACAATATATCGGTACCGTCAACAAAAATGCAAATCTGTATTTTCCTTTAGATATTGCAAATCTGTATGATGAGAAAAACTAGTTAATGAATACCTAAGAAATGCAAGATGAATCCAAATAAGACTTTAGATCTCAATAAAGAGCACTTTACCTTAGAGTAAGAAACAGATGATAAAGTTGTTCTTATGGTTGGTTGAATTGTTAGAATGGATTCAGTTATTGTTAGTCAACTTCTTGTTTGGCTGTAGTACTGCTTTGAGCTAAGGAGGAAAAAAAATAATCTTTACATTCAATGAGAAAGAAGATAATAAAAAAATGGATTGGATGATAAACAAATTGGAGAAAGTTAAGTGTGAAGACTTGCTCTCTGCTTTTTCTTTGAGTCAATGCACAATGCAATTAGTTGACTATCAAGTCCTCCTGTGTTCACTCGCTATAGGAAGTAGCTAGGAACTTGATTAGTTCTTACCAACTTTATTAACACATCTACTCAAGCATTTTTTTAAAAATAATAAATATCAAATCAAGCACTTGTCCATTCCCATCATAAATTAATGATGTTGACAGAATTGATATATAAGATCAAATTAAACATTAACTGAATTTTTTTTAAAGGACAGTAAGTAACAATTTGGAACTTAAAGAGAAGTGTTATATATATATAGCAAACTCGTGCTTAGTACGCGTATTTGGTACCTATCTGGGCTTAGCGCTGAAACTCGAAATCTCACCGGTGTATTGGGAAAAATTGAGTTTATATATTAAAGTGGTGTAAAGATGACGTGTCATGGTACATAGACTGGTCAAAAAGTTACAACTGACAAAGAGCCACGAGTTGCAACAGATACGAGTAGAGGCGAAGGAAGAGGCACAAGCGGTTATCCAAAAGACTCAACGCTCGTACCTATTTAAGTCCAAGAATCAAGGGGAATGAATCTGACACTACATGGGAGTACAGATACAGTATTTAATGAGCTTTAAATACTAAAAACGTTAGAGAATCTGTATTAAATACAATGATTATGTAACGTAGCATTTAATGTCTTTAATTGTCCATAATGGCCTTATTATGATAAAGGCAAAACGCAAATCTCCAAAATAGCTATAAAAGGGAGAGAACGGATCAATTGTAATGACAGGAAAATACTATCTGAATATACCGATTTACTTGCTTTTCTTCTGATTATCTTATTGCTAGCCAAATTACTTTCTTTTATATATTTTTTTGATTATCAGTAACCCGAGTTCTTCTAAATTAAAGTTTTGACTGAAATTCCATTTTTTGGTTAAACAAATTGGTTCCGTTACCAGGAATCTGATAATCTATCCTCTTTAAGCTTAAATTTCCCTGTTGCATCAACCATGTCGAACAACAATGACAACATTCAAGGTAACAAAGGAAACAAAGGAAACCAACAACTTCAGGGTAATCAAACCCCCGTCCCTTCTCCATGAGGCTCTCCTCGGCGGTCTCGTGAAGGCTCTCCTGATGGATCTCATACAAATGGAAACGCCCAATTCGAAATGTTGAAGCTATCGATGAAGCTTTGCAGAAACTAATTGTTGCACAGGTCAATAAAGCTCTTAAGGCTTTTGCTAGCCAGTTACCTACTACACCACCTACACCCACTCCAAATAACAACACTTTGGAGAACCCTCGTTCCGGGCTCGTTAATTCAGGTAGTGGTGGAATCCCCAGCGAATCACAGGAGGGAGAACCAGGTAACTTAGTCAATTCTGATTTACAAAATTTAGTACTAACATTGCAGAAACAGCTTAAGGAGCAAAGTGACCGCACAGAGCAAATACCCGGAGTGCCGCCCGTAATCAAAAGGATAGATACGGATATATATTCGCAACACCCCTGGAAGCCAAGTGCTGCTCCCCTCCCGATTCCAAAGAAATTCAAAATGCCTAATATTCCAAAATACGATGGAACAACAAACCCACGAGACCACATGAATGCATTCATAACAGGCGTAAAAGGCAACGACTTGACCAAGTAGGAGATTGAATCAGTATTAGTTAAAAAATTCGGTAAAACACTTACCAAGGGTGCATTAACATGATATTCTCTTTTACCCGAAAATTCTATAAATTCTTTTGCTGAGCTTGCAGATTCTTTCGTCAAAGCACACTCGGGAGCTCAAAAAGTCGGAAAACAAATGGAAGATATTTTCAAAATCAAGCAAGGGGACTCAGAATTGCTTAGGGAGTTCGTGGATAGATTCCAATGTGAAAGAATGACATTACCACGTGTACCTGATAATTGGGCAGCTATAGCTTTCACAAGCAATTTGAATGAAAAGAGCTCAGAAGCTACGAGGTGACTCAAGAAAAGTCTTCGTGAATTCCCAGCTACAACATAGAATGACATTTACAACAGGTATAACACGAAGCTAAAGATAGAAGAAGAAGTTGTTCCACAATTCCAAAAAAAAAAAAGAAAAAGTAAGTTCGAGACGGGCGGAAACCGAAAAAAGGTCCGGTAAAAATAGGTACGAGCCATATATGGGACCTGCAGGATAAGATTCACGGTCAAAACAGGACAATCAAAGGTATGATCATAGATCAAGGAATAGAGAGTCAGGCTCTTCATCAAGGTTTAGGAATGATCGAAACACCCATGAGTCACGAGATGATGATAGAAATTTGAAGGCGAGATTTGGCGGTTACAATTTCAATGTGAGCACTTCCGAGCTCGTAGCTGTTTTGAGAAACATGGGTGACAAGGTACGGTGGCCAAAAGAGATGAGATCGAATCCAAACAGGCGCAACCCTGATCATTTGTGTGAGTTTCATAATGATCACGGGACATAAAACAGCAGACTGTAGATTTTTACAAAGTGAAGTTGATCATTTATTAAAATAAGGGTATCTCACAGAGTTATTCAGTAAGAAAGGTAAGCAAGCTTACATGAAGAATAGGCAGGAACCCCCTAAACCACCTTCTCCCAAAAGGACCGTCAACGTTATAAGCGGGGGTGAAGACATCAATGGCGTAACGTACACTGCAGCTAATAAAATTTTCAAAGTCACAATTACCCAAGGGAAATGGGTGCGACATGTATTAGAGGAAGACAGTATTACATTTGATGATGCTGATGCGGATGGTGTATTATCTCCTCATAATGATGCCCTGGTAATATCATTAATTGTACATGATACTAGTGTGAAACGAGTTTTGATTGATCCAATTAGTTCCGTCAACATTATTTTGCTATGAGTATTACGTGAGATGCAAGATGAGGATAAATTAATACCAAGGCGCATACTTTATCTGGATTTGACAATTCTAGTGTTGTGACGAAAGGAGAGGTAACACTCACCACATTCGCAGAAGGAGTTGTCAAAGATACAAAGTTTCAAGTAGTAGATATGGAGATGGCTTACAATATGATCCTTGGGAGACCATGGATCCACGAAATGGATGACGTTCCTTCAACCTTGCATCAAGTTATTAAATTTCCATCACCATGGGGAATATGTCAAATCCGCGAGAATGTGCTGTAGCATATTCAAGTATGAAAAAAAGAAGAAAAATAGCAATCACAGAAGACAGTTGAGGGCACCACAGCACAAACCTCAACTGAACAAGGGCGGACAGATGTGGATTCAAGGCCTGATACCATTCAAGAACCAGAAGAAAACAAAAATATTTAAACAAAAATTGAAGAATTGGAGGCTGTGGTGTTATTTGCACAATGGCCTGATAAGAAAGTCTACGTAGGGGCCAGTCTAAGCCAAGGCATGAGAGGTAAGTTAATTGAATTTTTGAAAACTAACGTGGACTGTTTTGCTTGGTCCCACTCTGATATGACAGGAATACCACCGGAGGTAATGACTCACAAATTGAATGAAGACCCAACGTACCCTCCTGTCAAACAAAAGAAAATAAGCAAGGAACTTTCAAGAATCAGGTGATTCAAGAAGAGGTTCAAAAATTTCTAAAGATTGGATCCATCCGCGAGGTAAAGTATCCTAATTGGTTAGCCAATATTGTTGTAGTTCTAAAGAAGAATGGTAAGTGGCGAGTTTGTGTGGATTACACAGACCTTAATAAAGCTTGTCCTAAAGATTCTTTTCTACTACCACATATAGATCAACTAATTGATGCTACTGCAGGGCATGAACTATTAGGTTTTTTAGATGCATATTCAGGGTACAATTAGATCAAAATGGATCCAGTAGATGAGGAAAAAACTTCATTCATAACAGACAGAGGGACTTACTGTTATAAAGTAATGCCTTTTGGTCTCAAAAATGCTGGTGCAACATATCAAAGGCTGGTTACTAAAATGTTTCAAGAACATCTGAGAAAAACCATGGAGGTTTATATAGACGATATGCTTGTTAAAACTCAGCATTTGAGAGATCATATATCACACTTGTCTGATACATTTCAGATTTTGCGCAAATTTAATATGAAATTAAATTCGGAGAAATGTGCATTTGGTATTGCGTCAGGTAAGTTTTTGGGTTTTGTTGTTTCTAACCATGGTATTGAAGTGAATCCCGCACAGATTAAGGCCATTGAAGAAATTCCTGATATGCTTTCAAGCAAAAGGGAAGTGCAGAGGTTAACAAAAATAATTGCAGCCTTGGGAAGATTCATTTCTAAATCATCAGAAAAGTGCTTTAAATTCTTTTCAGCTCTTAAAAAGCAAGATCACTTTGACTGGAATGAGGAATGTTAGTAGGCACTCAAAAATTTGAAGACATACTTATCAAATCCACCATTGCTCGCAAAACCAAAGGCTGGGAAAAGGCTGCTCATCTACCTTGTTGTTTCAGAAGTAGCGGTAAGTGCTGTTTTAGTCCGTGAAGACCAAGGTAAAAAATCTCCGATCTATTATGTTAGCAAATCTTTGTTAGATGCGGAGACAAGGTACCCTCAATTGGAAAATCTTGAACTTGCATTAATCATGGCATCTAGAAAATTAAGTCCTTATTTTCAATGTCATCCTATTGCTGTAGTAACTGCTTATCCATTACGCAATATATTACATAAGCATAAATTGTCAGGTAGGTCAGCTAAATAGGCTATAGAATTAAGTGAATATGATATCACCTACCAACCTAGAACTGCTATAAAATCTCAAGTGTTAGCTGATTTCATAGCTGATTTTAGCCAAGGGATGCAATTAGAAGCAGAAAAAGAGTTGCAGGTCTTCAACGGAGCTAACCAAGGAACTTGGACCTTGTTTACTAATGGTTCATCTAACGTAAAGGGTGCTAGTTTGGGGATTGTTTTGGTACCACCTACGGGTGAAACCATTCGACAAGCCATAAAATGTCATTCTATAACTAACAATGAGGCAGAGTATGAAGTTGTGATTGCAGGTTTAGAACTGGCACGAGAACTTGGCATAAATAAGATTATAATCAAAAGCGATTCACAGCTCGTAGTTAATCAAATGCTAGGGACTTAT